CCCTTTCAAAACACCTTCCTACTCTGGCTCAAGTACTACAACGACAAGTTCTCGCAAACCCAGATCAACACTTACCCTCTTGGCGTGCAGGCTGTTGGTATCGCTGCGAATATGCTTGCAGCATGGCACATGGACGCAACCCGCCAGCGTGTTCCAATGGCCATCCTCGCCGTCCTTCTTCAGGTTGTTGTAGGAGCTATGCTTCTCGTGAGGGATCTGTCTGACGCTGGGGTCATGTTTGCCTTTTATCTTGCTGGATCAGCATACATGGTCAACCCCCTCATCTTTGGCTGGGCAAACATCATCCTGCAGCGAACAGGCGATGATGCTGTGCGCAGTGTGACGCTGTACTCCATGAATATCGGCTCCATGGTTCTTTGGACATTCTGGGGCATCATCTTCTACAGTGCCGCTGATGCACCTTATTGGAAGAAGGGCGCTATCTCGCTTCTTGCCTGCTGTGGTGTCATGTTCTGTTATATCTGGCTGGTCAATTATGTAAGTGCTATATTTCTGAGTGCCATCTCACAGCCGCTTACCAAGTATTTCTAGCTCGACAAACTCACCATGAAGAAGTATGGTGACCGAACTGTTGAAGATCTCGAGGGGCCGATCGAAGTGAGCGAATCTGATAAGGGTGATGCTACCAAGGTGTCAGAAAAGAACGTGACTTCATGAAGTGACTATCATCCGAGGGACACGCGAAGAGACCATAGTGTAGGGACGGTGTAAAATAATGTAGGATTGCGGCTTATGTCGGATACGAGTTATGCCGATTCATGTGGGTTAGTCATAAACTTTCAGAGCTGTCACATAGCTCAGAGGAATGAAACAAGATAAGTGCCAGATACGTCTAGGTAAATTTGAATCATTGGTATGATCATGATCCCTCTCACAGAGCTATGCTATAGTCTCGATCGAGCCTTGGCTAAGAGGTCCTTATCTCCATATCCTGGTTATACCTAGGCTCTCAGCCACTAGCCACCTGTTTTTCTTAATCATTCACGGACTCCTGATCAGTACTGAAGGGGCATTGCTAATGATGCGTTACTCGCTCGGTACTGATGAGAACTAGGTTATGATGTTTTTAGGCGTAGTGTATGACGCTCCCTTGACATAGGCACTGACAGCCGTAACTGACTTAAAATACATAGAAGCAATCATTGATCATCCGTCATCGTACCACATTGACTACGGTTAATGCTGATGAAAGTAACAAAAGTTTTTCAGCTACTAATACATGTATAATCTCAAAGCTCGTAGTAATAGCCTGGTCGCTGCCCCAAGTATTGCCCATACGAGCCCTTGAGAGAAGCATCCAGAGTGTAGGGATCGATAGCATGGTTCTTAGAAATATGAGCATTAAGGTCGTTTAAATCATACTTATTGAAACTTCCAGGCTTGTCGTTGACGCATGCCCGGCACATGTACTCATTTGGTGCACCCTCAACGTGCGACCAAAGGACGCCGTTTTGCTTCAACAAGAAGTAGTGCACGATGAGGTCGTCCACCGCCTGATCGGAATCATGCCAGCCGCAGCCACAAACAAACCTTCCAGTACCTGTCTTATGAGGGAACTTGTCACAGAACGTGGGATGCCCCGGCTTTCCGAGGCCTGACTGGATATTCGTACCCCAGAACATCACTCCTCCTGATTGTTTATGGTGTTAAACAACTTAAAGGGAGAATGGTCAGGGACGGCTGTCGACTTACCAAAGGTCTGGATGCGATTATCCGTTGAGGGATCAAGCCTCTGGATGATACGCTGGGTTTGTTCGTCATTCATGCTCTTGATGGCAAGTAAGACGCGAGGGATCTGATTGCTATCGAGGCCTTGAACAGTGCGGTTCAATTGAGTATTGTCGAGCCGCTGCAGAGCGCCCGGAAGTTCAGTGTCGTCAATGTCCTCGACGGACAGGTGATCACTCACGTTATCCTGACTCTTATGTAGTTGCACAATGGTTCTGTTGTGGATATTGAGTTTCTGAACAGAAAGAACCGACAGATAGTCAGAACAGTCTTTATAGCCGGTGATTGGGCTTCGATAGCATTATTCACATGCTGACTTCACTGACCATTCTCTCCCAACCCATCCTCATTCAGCCTCAATTGCGTCACCTTACGTCAGACTAGAGTGTCAGGGAACCTCATTTCAACCCTTTTACCAATCGCTGCGACAGTCTCACCTTGTAATATGCTGCAAAGGCAGAGATATTAGGCCGCAAATCCGAAATACAAAGATAATCAGCGAATAACATACTTCCAATGACGTTTCAATAAGAACAAGTGTGGTATGGTGTTGCCTTGATTCGGCGTACCGTTCAGCCGCAGAGGAAGAGGGTGGTGTAACTCAGAGCCTGACGGGAAGGGATGGTTGCAATGTAATAAATCACAATCCTTCACTTTTTAGCCTAAATTGATGGCTATTCATTCGAGACACCGTAGTGACTTTTCGCAATTGCACACATGGTTCGATTCAGAATTTGGGACAAATAATATTGGACTTATAACTCTGGTCGTGGTGTTGATGCCATCTGCCAACTGATTTGTATATTCAACGGACGTGGACTACAACTTCCTTTCAGTGAGGCTCAAAGGACTCGACATCTAGTTTTAACCCCGACCTATTGATCAAAACTACTCATTACACAGTTTCCACGAAAAATGTCCAAGTCATGTAAGTCTCCTGTAGAGTGACCTATTGGGGACTCTGTATCGAGTGAGCGGCACATAATACCACGAAGGGTACCATACAACTGGTGCCCACCAATACCCATAGCTGAGGTAATAATCTCCACAGTATGGAACATTGTTAGTTGAGCTATCATAGTAATACCAGTTCCAGTCGTATGTGTAGTATCCTGTCCCCGGATAGGCCTGATATTGGTTCTGATAAGGGCTCTGGTAGTAGTATTCGTTCATTTCTTGGGGGTCGCGCGGCCAAGGCTGAACTTCAACGGTTGATTGCACGTCTCGGGGCCAAGGTTGAACTTCTACAAATGTGTGGTTGTTAGAGAATATCATTACCGAACAAAGTTAGATTTAGAAAAGAACAGGATAACACTACCGCTCTGATTAAGGCGTCGATTCCCACGTAAGCACCGAATGATGCGGTGAACTTGATCAGTATCAATTGCTCTTAAACTGGCGGCGAGTTGGGTGTCGTCTAGACCTTGGACGACCTCTTGAAGACTGTGGCTAGGATGGTTCGGTACAGCCAGCTGTTCGACCATGTTCTCGGCTTCTTGCTGGCTGTTATGCGAGATGGCCTAGACGCAACGTGTAAGTTTGCTGGGGAGGATGGGTTGGGAAAGGGTACCAGCATCAGATATGGTAGTGTGATATTGCGTCCACATTCGCTATCTCGGCTGTATGTAAACCCATCTCTATGTCCATAGAAGCATTCTTTGGTACTAGAAAGAGGGCGTAGAAAGCCATCCGCCTTAAACGTTCTTTGCCTAATGACAGATTGGGCATAGACGAAGAGCCTCGTTTCAACCTCTCCACCAACCAGTACAGACTGAGCACAAAGGTCTACGTGGCAGTAGATGCATATGACGTGCCGGGCATTGGAGATAGCATGAAAAGCCAATTGATTACCACTTCAGGTTACACCATAGATGTACACTGGCCTGGTGTAAGTTTTGTGTATCGTGGTGCTAACGAAAACGGGAGTTGGACAACGAACAGCGCGACAAGTGAAGGTGGTCGCTCAGGGATGACCAGTTGCGGCAGTGCATCAAACTAAGAGTGCCTAATACTGCAAATACTCAAATGATTATTGACATGTCTATAATTGGACTATGATCTTTGGTGTTGTCTCCAGGCGACTTCAATCCTTAAGGGAGAAAACGTCAACTTAACCTGAAGCCGACTTTTAGTGGGCACTGGCCTGTTCACGTTTATCTTCAATTGATCAGTCATTGGGTATAAGTCTGAATGACAGTGAAACAGGCACATACGACCATACCTGCAGGAAAATACGGGATCCCGTCCGCTCTCCCATAGTCAAGCCTGTAAGGGGCGGATCAGTAGTTGGGTCGGTGACGACCAGCGAATCCCCGCTGTTGTATGTTTTTTGGTGTTTTTGAAGCATAACTGATTGATTGATCATCCCGACCAAAAGCTCTCTGCTTTATTTTTGAAGATAATGGCAACCCCTCCTCCGGTGGGTTGTTAATTGTGATACTTCAGTACTTGTCCCAGCTGCGCGCCATTCTGTTTCCCGACTCCCTAAATTCCGGCATAGAATTAGTAAATCTCATAATATACCACAGAAGGTGAATGTCGGGAAGGGTTACGGTATAGAGGGAAAAGCTACAGTTAGTGCTCGGCTTCTAAAGCACCATTTTTTGCAAGCCGAATGGTGAGCCAATCGCTGAAACTAGGCAAGGTAATAATATTAATGCGTGCTTCTTGCATGTCAAAATTCTGCCAGCCGTTCACCACTCCCACAGTTTCTCACGAAAAAGAATGCTCGATTGTCAGTTGGTCAAAAAGTGCGATGTGCGGGGAGATTGACTTTCTTTCTGTGTTGAGGGGCATCCTTGCCTTGGGCCTGCAATCATCCTTGAAGTCTCAGCTATCTGACAAAATCATCGACTGGCTCACAGGACTACAGCTATTATGTCTGCTGTTGATTCCGAAGTTCCGGTTTCCGGACGTCCGTCATTATTTAATAGACACCTTTGGCGATAGATTTTGAAGCGATAACATAGGTGGCTATCATACGTGTTTGACTAGAGTATTCTCATATCAAGATGAAACAACATGGTGCTGCGTTCATACACGGCCGAGTGTACACGGTAAATGACAAATGCCCATGGGCCGAAGCCTTCATTGTTTCCCCATCCGGGCATTTTGAGGCAGTTGGAACCGACCAAGAGATCCAAGCCCTGGCCGAGGAACAAGACCTTCCCATCCACGACCTTGACAACACCTTCGTCATGCCTGGAATCCACGACGCACATACTCATCTTCTAGTAGCCTAGATGCAGAAAATGAGCGAAATCAGTATTGGATCTGATAGTACCGCCGCAACTATTGCAGAGAACATCAAGAAAGGACAGGCCAGTTGTGCCTGTGTCCAAGCGCATTTTAGAGGTGATTGGCTTATTGCAAACTTCTATGCAGGTCAGAACTTTCCAGATGGAAAGATGGATCGGAAGTATCTGGACGATACCTTTCCTGAGCAGCCGGTGCTTGTTCGAGATGTCTCTTGTCACAACGTCGCTCTCAACACCGCAGCTCTCATGCGCGTCGGGTATGGGGCTGACGTTGAGGGCCCCCCTGGAGGCCAGTACATGCGAAGGCCGGATGGTCAGTTGACTGGTGAGCTGGTCGAAGCAGCATCAGCTGAGGTCTTTGCCAGCCTACCTCAGCCGCCTGTGTCGGTTGTCAAAGAAGCTCTCATCTATGGGATCAAGATGTCTGAGTCTCATAAGTTCGGTATCACTTCGCTGCAAGAGGCGTCCGGTAATACCCTCTATCTTTATGCTCTTCGAGAGCTAGATGCCGAAGGGCGACTTGACATGCAAATCTTCCCTCACATTGGCCATGCGCCCGAGAGTTTTGCTCAGGAGAAATCGTCTCATCGATACTGCTGAAAGCTTCTGTAGCCAGCACGTTGATGCACGGTTTGTCAAGTTTTGGATAGATGGGGTGCCCATACCGCCTCACTTCACGCAATGCGATATTGGACCGGATGGACATCTCAACGAGGAGAGTCAACTGCTTACGTTCGAAGAGTTGTTGGAAGCTTTGACTAAGCATGATGCGAAAGGTTTGACCTGCAAGATCCATTGTGCCGGTGACGGCTCTGCAAGACGAGTGCTCGATGTTCTCGAGCGAGTTCGGCAGTCGAATCCTTCCGGTCCATTGCACGAACTGGCACATTGCAACACCATTCATCAAGGTGAGACTCCATCCTGATTTTCTGAGTGAATACTGAACTGCCTCTCAAGATGACATCAAACGCATGGCGGAATTACGAATCACGGCTGAGATGTCACCCGCAATATTTCATGACACAAGTCTCACATCCAAATATCCCCATATCTTCAAATGGCCGTTCAAGGAGCTCCAGGATACTGGTGTCCATGTCACCGTCGGTTCCGACTGGTTCTTGACCGACACGCCAGGCCTGTTCCCAGCCCCAACGGCTATCGTGGAGCGCTTTGGTATGCAGGAGGGCAAGACGGCGAAAGAAGTTGGAGGTACAAAGATCTCCCGTATCATAACGCTAGCGGGTGCTGAGGCAGTAGGAAAGGCTTCGGAGATGGGAAGTATTGAGACAGGAAAGAGGGCAAATTTCATTGCTGTTGATCGAGACTTGAGTCGTGGTGAATTTAGTGGAGCGAAGGTCCTGAAGGCGTGGTTTGAGGGAAAGATGGCCTGGGAAGACATGGACAATGTGGTGTCTATGTAGCAGGATCAAACTACGGGGGCTTGTCCTGGAGACCATGTCCCTGCATTACTGAGGCTAAATACAACCGGTGCCCTAATTTCCCTTTCTCGAGAAAGTCTTGATACGGCATCACCATCAGAAAAGCCCATTTCACTCAGTCCATCCAATTCATCAGCCTCTCGTAGAACTTCAGCAGGGGCTTCTACTTCAAACACAGCCTGTATGTCGCCATGCGGTGAGAAACCAGTAAACTTCCACATTCTCGAGACTTTGGTTGCGTTGGCTCCAAAAGTCCATAGGCGTCGGCGCTCATAGAAACCGATGCAAAGCAAAAGGGGTGCATTGACAAGTCGTGCGAGAAAGACATGAATCGAGTAGAACTCAAGCGGCGACAGGAATGGTTTCATAGGAAGCAGTATGAGTAGAGCAAAGAGGTTGAAGGGTGGCGGGTAAGCAAAGATGGCGTCGCTTTTCACGCCCTCAAACGTGAGAACTGTCTTTCGGAACTGGATCTCAACATCTTCAGACGTAACAATGGTGCTGAACCGGTTGGTGAGGAGTGAGACAAGAATCGTGAGAAATAGAGTATTGCCGAGAAAGGCAAAGGCAATAGTCAGTGCTGGCCCTAAAATGGCGTGAAACTGAACAGATTCCTCAATTCCTGTTCCATCTAGTCCGAACCAGATCCAAAGTAGCCATTTGATGATGGTGAAGTCGTTTGGAATTGAGCCATCCCCTGGAGAAAGCCACTGCAGAGCTAACAGGAAGCCCGTAAAACACCATATCGCGAGGAATGTTAGGATCAGAAACTCTTTCATCATTGCGTGGAGCGAAATGAAGACGATGTGATCTGGTAAAATGTTGAAAGCCAGTCTTGTTAGCAGGATAGGAGCGGCGAGGCAGAGTATGTTATGTGCCATGCCATTCTGCACGCTACTTACAGCCAGCTCATATGCCCGGACAGTAATATAGGCCATGAAGATGACGGTGTATGAGAGATCCAAGAATGACCATAACGTCTGTGAGTGAATCATCCATCCATGCTCAATGATGGCAGCAAGCTCATGAAGTACCCAACCAGCAGAATAGAGAATGAAGACAACCTCGTTTCCGGTCAAGTTCTCAGGATCACGATACTGCATCGTGTAAACATACAGAAGAGTGAGAATGATATAGTGCACCAGCTCGATCATGTATCGGGTGCGCGGAACCACCAGGCGGTGATGGTCGAGCAGCGGTGCCTTTCGCGGCTCATACAAAGACACAGGAAGGTACTCATAATGATTTGGGAGAATATCAACAAACGACAAAGGGGTGTAGACGATCTGACCACGATACACTGCATCAATCACTCGTCTGCATCCCGAGGAACTGACAAAGTTCTTGCTCTCGGATATGATGGCGAGTTCGAGTGCTGTCAGCTTCCTCTCATGGCCGCCGCGTTTCTGTATCGGCCATTGCGGATAGCGCCCGTACTGTTCAACTTCGGGCGGAGCGCCTTGGAAGGGATCAAAGCCCTGGACCAGGATCTTGGAGAGCAACAAGAGACCATCTAGACCTGGATTGTCGTCATGAAAGTTGCGCAGAATCTTGATAGCCAAGAGCTCGCATAATGTTGCGCGGGCTATACTGGTGCTCTGGTCGATGACGCTGGACTGCTCGCGTAAGAACTGTACTCGGTTTGCGAGAAGACAGTAGACTGCAGTGGTCAGTATTACGACGGTTGGTATCTTGGCAGTGGATGGTGTATCGCGCACCGATGGAGTAGTCATTCTCATCATACAGACGATCTACTAAAGGCCGGACGATGAGATGGTTGACTCTTGGGCTTTTTAATTGATCCAAAGAATAAGGATCATCTGTTGAAGATTGTTAGAAGGGATACATCGGTAGTCCGTTCCCATTTACCTATGCTTGCAAGTACAAATTTTCTTATACTGCAGTAAATACATTGTCAGCACGTTGCACTTATGTAAATGCCAAAGATCAATACCGATGCAGGGTGACAAAGACGGAGGGTTGAGGCCATTCGCTCTCGTGCTCAGTATCTGTCTCGGTCCTGAAACTTGCAGTCGCATCATTCAACAAGGTGCCCTCGTCTGGCTCGTCTGGCTCGATGGCGTCCACGAAATTTGAGGACAGGCCATCTAGATCTTGGCTCATCGTGCTCTCGCAAGAGCATAGATCAAGTACAGGGGACAAAGAAACAGGTGCAGCCACCAAAAAGTTGCGTCTCACGACATGTTTTATTCACGGAAGCGGGGTGGAGCTCTCATCTTAGCTGGATTTGTGGATCGAAGCCCTGAGGTCGATGATGCTATGCTACAAGTAGAGAGTTGTCGACCATCAGAACTGTCATTTCTACCAAGCTCTCTTCAACCAACTCAATCGCAGTTATGCTTATCGCTCCCCAGCCCTGCTCGTTTGATCTGCTGAGCTGATCCAGCGGTTGAAGAAAGTTGTCTCTTCTCTCAACGGTCATTGTGATACCCCAAGTGAGTCTCAGTTAGCATGACTTGCAGGAATGTTGGGTGGGGGGTTTGACAAAATGACGATCTGTTTGGGGCTGTGTACTGAGTGAAATGGCTGCGCCCCCTTCGGTTGCACCCGGCTTGGCCAGCTTCAGGCGTCTTATAGCTCTAATATGTCAACAAAAAGGCGAATGCTCTTGTGCCGTCCCTGTGAATATGACGTACGCGCCAATTTCCTTGGCGTCTTTGTCTGCGGGGAATGGATCGCCAGTGTCAGATGCTTGGTTTTGTAACTACGGAGTAGCACTGGCGAGATTGCACAGAGCAGCGGTGTGAGTCGAGGTGAGCATGATATGACTGGGCGACAAACGAGCACGAAGCGGTGTTGAAGAGGGACAGACTGAAACAAGAGGGCGTGTACGACAGAACAAGTACAGTATCATCCAGTACTGGACCTCACTGCAATTGCAGCAATCGCAATTGAGTGGATGCTTATTGCAGACAAGCTTTTTAGCGTCGGGGGTAGAATTCAAGGGTCTACGATGATAATGCATGCACGCCTCGGAGAATAGAGGCGAACCCAGTGAAGCCAGTCTCATGTGCTCAAAGACAGGCTCGTGACAGTTTGTTTACGAGGCGGGGTCGGATTGGAATTGTCTCGACCATGCATGCGGCATTTATTTTACTTCGCTGTCATTTTTACGAGCGCCAAATTACGGCTGCGACGATGCTGTTCTTGGACTGATCATCAGCCCTTTTGTAGTGGCATCAATTGTAGCTGGCAAGTATTTATCTCAGCTTGCGATTAAGCTTAGAGACTACAGTGGTACAGTGTGGTCTGTGCCCCTGGTGTGGAGATCCCTAGCTGCCCTGCCTGCCCTGTAACTTTGGGGAGCTTTGACAGGATCAGCAGCCGGAAAGTTAGGTAGGCGGCCTCTGGAACTGCAGGGAGGTTTGAGCACGAATGAGACAGATTGAGTAACGAGAATCATGTTCAAGGGTCATTTCTGAGCCAGGATCAATGCTTATTGGTGAGAGCTGAGTTGGTAATAGCCGAGGAATTTGCTGGGCTTCGTTAATGTTGCTGTAAAGTCTGGTGTCTTTGGCAGTACATACAAAACTCACCTTGCGTTTATTATGAGATCGCGCAACGGATCACCATGTAGTCTGTCTAATTGCCGCTTTCGCAGCAAGGAAGAAACATGATTTGTATTTTCATCTGAAAAGAATGTGCATTACACTGTGAGGCGCCCTGGCCATGCCCGTCGTTGTAAATCGCTAGTCATTGTCTCATGCCTAAGTTATAATATCTATCATTATCTTGTAGCCTGCGAATGATACGCACGTTCTCGTGCAGCGAACGAATGCACCGCTTGTGGTTTCGTCAAGTTAATTAAAGTAGCCAGATCGACGCGACTTTATAAAAGAGAGGCGCTTTGTTAGCTGGATGGACTTTGTTGGGCATGGTGAATACTGACCATAATGGGCAAGTCCGCGATCTTCCAATCAACCACGGATCGATGCATTGTGGATGAAAGAGGTGGCCGCACGGCAACTTTCTTAGACTTGTTCCCTCAATGAAATCTTCAGTGCAGATAGAACACGCCGGAGAAGTACGCTCATCTGCCTGGCGTGTGCTTCGGTCGCTGACGTTTGGAGAACGGATCGACAAGTTGGGCATAGTGAAATAGCGCTGCAACTTTTCGAGTTTTGGTTTTCGTTGCTTTCGAAACATGTATGAGGACATTTGAGCTTGCGTGTGAATCTGTTTCGAGTGTATCCGGTGATGATAAGTCACGGTGGGCATGCTCTCCACGGCGAGCTTTCCCAGACCGGAGCTCGTTCGAAACCGCGGAAGCTGTGTTTCCAGAGGCCGTGGCATATGATTATTTCGCAGAAGCCAGTGTACGAAGCAAATGATGCAGATGACGAGAATAACTACGACACAGAGGATAATCCCCCACATTGTCGTCGTTTTGTTATCATGGTTGGTGTCATGGCTGTTTGACGGGTCCTCGGATTGTGCCATGCGTGCCACGAGTATTGCTAGTTGTAATGAGATAGGAATAAGATGTGAAAGGATATCGGGAGTTATTTCTGAAAAGCATTTTCCCTGGCTGATCTGGACGATTGGTTCTTGTTTTTCTGACATCAAGCATCTGAAAGAAGAGCGCTGATTGGTGTATGCGGGATTTCTTTCCGAGGGTCTGAGAGCACATGTCTGATCTCCATTAGCATGCCGGGAATGCGGTCAAGAGGATCGCTGAGGGGTGAGTCTAAAACTCTCGAGTACTCCAACACAAGGGAAAAAGAAGCTTGGCCCAAATTGAGGCCAGTGTCATCAGAGTGCATCTTCTGTATTGCCTGATTCGGCAGCATGTTGGGTTAGGGCTAGCATCATCCCAAATTGAGGGCATTGCCCCCAGAGCCACAAAGGCTACAGCTAACGGCTGCTAAGTCTGTATGATTGCGAGCTTATGGTTGCAGCGATAGAAATTGCCATGGAAAGAATGATTTTATTAACTGAACCTTTATCTGCAGAACTGACAGCGTAGTCACTACTAAGAGAGAAAGATGCACTGTATAAACTTGTCCCCTGGTTTCAAATGAGCCCCCACGATCAAATTCTACAAATGAGCTACTTATATGCCGCGAAATACGGTTATTTCTAGTTGATGCCAGAGTCTGAGAGCTTAAATTAGCACATATAACCTGGTAATACCTGCTCGTCAAGTCGTGGCATGCACTTGGGATGTTAACTGTTAGCACTATTATCCCTGCCTTGCGCTCCTCCTACCATTTATGCTGCTCGTGATACCATGAGGGCAAGGCTTATAATCCCCGTTTGTACCAACCTGTGTTTTCCCCTCTCGTGCGTTGAGGCTGAAGCCTCTTTTAGACTCTTACCCTTAGGACAATGAATCCATGAAGCTTACACTGGAGAGAGGGCACAGTCATTTGCTTACGCAGAATCACAAATTCTTTTATGGGTTTTTAACATTATAGAATAGACAGGACAGAAGTCGAAATCATGGTCAGAGGCTTAAACTCTTGCTTGTCGGTCACATAACTTGGACAATGCAACATCACGGTGAAGCTTGTGTTACTAGTGGCACCTATTATCATTAATAAGGGCTAGCTCTGACATCTAAGGCGCTTCCATGCTACTGCCTATTCTTTCTCGCCCTTGATGGATCTCAAAGTCTGAACACGCAGTGAGGTAGTCCCTCATTCCCCTCGTAGCACGTGACAGTCATTCCTCCTGGTATCTTCACCCAAATATTTTTCTGTTTCTCGATGGATACCAACTCCGATCCAGGGAGGGCTGATTGGACGAAGAAAGTTTGATTGGGGAAGGTGAATGCATGGACTTGGCGGGTTGGGAAATGGGGGAATCCGCTGAGCGTTTCTCCAGCAGTTATGTTGAACTGCCTGCACCTAGGCTTCTTATTGCCCAGAATCTTTTGAGACACTATAGCAAACATAGAATCCCTTGGCATTGGGCACTTGTGGGGCAGGCTTTGATTCTTAGGTCCATCAGGTATCTTCATTATGGCACCTTCCAAAGGCCAGGTCGTGTTATTCTCGAGAATCTGGGGGCGAAATCGGAAATCTTGGGCAGAAGTGGCATCGCCGAGGAGGAGAGCTCCGAAAGCCAGGATAGCAGAGAGTTTCATGGTGACCTTAGGGGTGAGCAAGTTAGCTTTTAAGCATACTGGCAAGGTCAACGTGTTTTGAGAAGCTTACAGTCGCAAATTGACGCTTGGTCGTGATGTTTCTGGCTCTACTGACGGCCTGTCGGGGGATGCAAAGGCGGTCGAGCTTTATACCTGTCGGCCTCTGCCTTTCACAATTTTGGACACATGATCTCGTAATACATTGGAGCCAAGCCGCAATTACGAGCTTAAGTTTGCAGAGAGAAATTTGCCACATCATAATCACCCGTGTAGGCAGCCTAGTACTTAACCTTATGGCCACCATATGGCTCTGTACCTCGTGCTGGCTGATACCCTTGCGGCTCACATATACAAACAAGGTTTTGGATTTTGCCGCCACCACTTATGTTAAACACCGCAACAGTGTCCTCGCTATGCTTAGGTAGTGATAGGGAAGTAAGGAATACTTCTCCCCGGAGGTCTGCTACAGATATGATTTACTAGAATCTATATCTTGACGATCAGACTCTTGTTACTTTCAGGTCCCGGCACTTCATCCGAAGTGTCAGCTTATTGGTGTACGATACAGGCTTGCTACATTGTGCGATGATCTATGGTGATGAGGTAAGAAGAGCTACGGTCATAATATAAACAAAAATAACACATTCTAACAGAGACAGGCGATCTGTGCCTCGTACCTACCCTCGTGAACCAAGAGGCGTTAGACTTGAGTGGAAGTCTATTCCCGGCTCGCTAGATATTCTTGTTGTTTTAGAATCGAGGCGGACGGAATCTTTGTTCAAAGCTCAACGGTTCTTAGCATGCATTGTTGTGTAGATATGTTCTAAGTTAGCAAGGAGGGGGGGGGAGCGACTTCAAGAACGGCACTAAGATAAGTTTAGTCTATTCGGCTTCGTTTACTCCTTTAAGAAGCTGTCACTTCCTTTTTTTCTCTCTCTCTTTTTTGCTGGGGAGCATATACATGGTCATTCCACCGTATATGGACGGGTTTGCCGCCAAGAATAACAAACGCCACTGTCTTGCCTCAAAGTCTAATTCAGAGGTTGAAAAGCAAAGAACAACAAAGGACTTACACATGTCCTGTCTTCCCTTTGCAATCATTTCTGGAAATCATCGGCGTGACCGCAGGTTCATACTAGAGGAATATCTTGGCATTTCTTTTGTCGCAGGTACTGCGAAGCATCTTTATCATGTGAGGTAAATGGCTGTCAGTATTGCAGGGTTAACGGTGGACTCTACCTCTTTCGGTTTGACACCGCAATGCCCCGGCCACGACCAATCGGAACCTGTCCAAATGCCTGACGCCAGACCACTTCTCAGCGGCTGGGACCAGTGAGGAAGCGGTTCTTTCAGGGTCTTGCAGGGAATGACAGCAGGCGGAACTTCGGCAGTCGCTTCACTGTACATAATTGGCAGCGTGTGCAACGCTGTGTTGGTTCGTGTCATGCATGTTGGTCGTCAGTTTTGTAGCACAGCATCGGACGAGAAAAGAGAAAACAATGCAGGTTTCAAAGCTCGGATCATGTGCGTACCACATGCGGCATTTAACTTCGCATTGACAGACAAACAAACATTTCACGATAGTTTTGGGGGCTTCTTGCAATTCGAGAGCAAAGATCTGCAATCGACAATGACGACCATCGAAGCGCATCCCGTCGTAGACGCTGACGATAACGTTAGTTCCCGCTGGAACCGACCCACTGAAGCTAGCTAACTAACAGCCACAGCACTCTGACGCAGACTCATCACTTGGCGCGGTATGAGATCAGCCCATGGCCATCATTACAGACCTTTGTTGCTGATATCATGGCGTAGGATAATGCTTCTTCGACAGACAGCTTGAGAAGCTCAATTCTTGACTTCCGTCAAGAAAACGGAAGAACGTATCATGCTTTCCGAGACGGCAGTATGTAGCCAACTCCTCTACTATACGAGGCTTATCACTGACGTGCCCAATCACAGAATACAATCTCCCGAACGATGACGAGGAGAACGAAAGACTGGGTATGTACTCTTAAATACCGCCGAACGCAGCATAACAATAACAATAACAATAACAACACAGATCTACAACATAACTTGTTCCTGCTCACTCTTGATAACAAGCTCGGTCTAAGCCCTCCTAACCTTCCCGACTCCAAGGTTAAGCGCGTCCTCGACGTTGGTACTGGAACCGGTATCTGGGCAATTGACTTTGGCGACGAGCACCCCGAGGCAACAGTGAGCTCCGCCATTAAAGCTTATTCAGAATAGCCGCTGACAAGATAGGTCATTGGCGTTGACCTCTCGCCGAGCCAGCCGAGCTTGTATGATTCAAGCTTATAGCCATACGTGAATACCAAGACTGATGATTCATAGTGTGCCGCCAAATGTTCGCTTCGAGATTGATGATATCGACGAGGAATGGACTTACAGCGAACCGTTCGATTTTATTCACAGCAGATTTATGAACTTTAGCATTCAGAACTGGAAGTCATACTTCACCAAGATCTATCAGTAAACCAAATCTCACCATCCACGAAATGAACCGTACTGACGCAAGCAGGAACTTGGCTCCAGGCGGCTATGTTGAGCTGCAAGATGTCGATGTCATCATGGGCAGCGACGATGGCACCCTCAAGGAAGACCATACCATGTACAAATGGTGCCGACTTCTCGACGAGGCAGCCGGAAAGTTCAACCGCTCATTCGAGCGCACAACCAACTTCAAGGATATGCTGAAAGAGGTCGGATTCGTTGATGTTGTTGAGACGCGCTACAAGTGGCCTACCAACCATTGGCCCAAGGACAAGAAGTACAAGGAGCTGGGCCAGTGGAATAATGTCAATGCAGCCTCTGCTCTGGAGGCGCTGACTATGGCGCCTTTCACGAGAGGATTGGGCTGGAGCCGTGAGGAGGTGGAGGTGTTTTTGGTGCAGCTGAGACAGGACTGGAATAACCCCAAGATCCATGCTTATTGGCCCATGTAAGTGTTTTGCTTCCCTGGGAGAGATTGTGGCTAACTGTTCGTAGTTGCGTTACTTATGCTAAGAAGCCCGAAGCGTAGTGCTGGTTACGAGATCCAGATCTTCAGTGGGGTTTAGGCTGGATGGAATAATTGGCATTTTATTTATTATAAAACAAGAGTTGGCGATGGAATTGATCTCAACAATTGTGCATCGTGCTTGATAAGCTTTGAGGTAGCCCTCTTTACACTTCCCTTCAAACTGAGTTCGTGCGGCGTGTTCGTTCTCGGCCGTGTCCTCCACATACGGCGTGCATCCATGTAATAACCGACAAAATAAAAACAAAAGTCCGGACTTTTCGTCAATCAACAGGACAGAATTCAGTTACACAGTCAGTCCTCATGTCG